GTCTATTGAGAGTTATTTATCAAATATATTCATCATGGAGATATAATTTTGATATCGGTGCTGCTGTTACTCATCTCCTTGTTCAGTATGTCTTCATTTTAGCCAACAGTGAATTCCTTAGTGTTCATGCTGCAGCTGCAGTGTGTAATGCTATTCATCATAAGTCTCAAAAACGATAGCTTCGATAATTTAAGATTGAAATATTATTATTCTGCAGGTGTGTCCAGTCTGTGACATGAGGGTGGGAGTTGACATGGTTGCGCATATATCCCTGCAGCATGGAAATATTTTCAAGATATCCTTCTATTTATCATGTTAAAATTAGTTTCCATCTTTTCTGTTTTTTCCATTCTATGATTTTTCCCTCATTGAGATTGCTTCACATTCATTCTCTTCATGTAGTTTTGTTCTTTAAAGATCAGGTTGGTGTGCACCAAGCTTTGTGTGTTCAATGATTTCAGTTGTACTCCGATCACGTCTCTTTTATTCTAACATTCTCCCGCAGAATAGAATAGATTCCCCGAAGATTACTCGATGACTTTTCTCGAGGGGGGAGGGATTTCTAGGCTTGTTTGTTTCTGATATTTACCACTGCTTTTTGTTTAATTTTGCTTATTGGATGACATTCTTTGGGTTATTTCTCTGAGGGATTTTTTTCTATGTTTGTTTGAGATCTATATGAAACTCGAGCAGACTGCAAGATTAACCCCATGCTTAGATTCCTTAACTAATGGTTACATGCAGCGTAAGAGAAAATCTCGTAAAGGTGGCTCACATTCGACACTCTCTTTGTTGAGGAAAGAGCTTCAAGAAGGAAATTTGCAGTCTCTCTTTGGGGGTTCTTCATGTTTATTTACCTCGAATGCAGCGCCCGATCCATTGCTGTCATCGTTTATTCTACCGATGGTTGATGACTATGGCAGTGTTCAACCTCACTTGTCGGCTGAATCAAACTCCATGAAGTGTAATTCACAAGACAAATCATTAGAACGGTGTGTTACTGATATATTCCTACTATTACATCACAATTTATCTCGCAAGTTCTTTAGTGCACATGGTCATGCCCAAGATAGTATCTCTTTTGTTGGGAAGTTCTGTCGAATGGAATGTGATAAGTTCGAGGAACGAGTTCTTATTACTGTTTAGTGTAGGCTGACATTCATTTTTTCTTTAAATCCGTGGCATCGTGAATAAACATTGTCTTTGGTCATCTTGTCATTTCGAGTCCAGTTGGTGTGGGACTAGCTTTAGTAGACATGGAAACAAAACATTAAGTACATGTACCAAAATCATGGCCATCATTTGAATACTTCTCCATTAATGGATCTAAAATCATGGTTGTACGTGACAGGAGCATCCCGTCATCGCCCCTGTCCATGCAGGACGAGGAAGAGAAAAGAAAACGCTGTGCATTTGTGCAAGGGCTGGTAATGTCCACCATCCTTGATGATAATTTATGAAGAGTTGGCTGGTGCAATAGTGGATGTAGTAAAACTCAGGAAGGCCCTCCTTTCTTTGCTTTGTAGCTCTCAACATACTCTAGTATGCTTCAAATGAGAGTGTCAAAATAAGGTTTAGTGTAGTTTATGTTGTTTGTATTACCCCAATTCTTATGCCCGACAAGACAACACTTCCATTTTGTGTCTTAAATTTATGGTCATGCTTAGGTGGAAGAGGGGGAGAAAAAAAAAAAAAAAAGGTTCTAGAAGCTTAAATTTGCAATAAGTAAACTTCTTGATTAGCTTCATTTCAATAATTAATGTAATCAATTTTATGGAGAAGTTAGCAATGATTTAACCTCTGAACTAATGGGATGCAAAAGAGAAGCCTGCTTTTGCAAATGAATCCCTATTATTAGAGCTTATTGCATTGCTGTGTTGATGAATTTGCTCACTGTTTGATAGCGAATTCACTTGTGAACTAACACTTTTACTTGTTATTTCTGTCTGACTGCTACTTACTCCTATTAAAGGGCTCGAAACTGTTATCTGTTTGGCATGCTACGATGATATTTTGCCGTTGAGGCTAGGTGTTACAATCTAACTATGAAAAGAGTAGGTTGTGACTCTCATGTTGCGACAAGAGAAGTGGCAACCCTCAAGTGGCTTAAGTGGCGCCTATATGGCCATGCGAGGGCTCAGATGAGTGCAGTGGCTCAGATGAGTGCCATGATGTGACCATGAAAGTTGGTGCATCATTTACACCACATAGAGTGGACATTGAAGACAAGTTAAGACATGTGCAAGATAGAGACATTGAATAGACAATGTAGCAAATATAGGCTTGTTGGAGGGTTGAGTAGGGCCCTGGGCCTCAACTTTGAAAGTCAGGGTTTCATAAGAAATTTGAGCTTGCGGTTTTGAAGTTAGGTCCATCCATATGAAATATGAATACCCGCCAAATTTGGTGTCAATTGAGCATCAGACGGATGTTCCATAACACCATATGATTGTTCGCCACAATCACATCTATTTGACTCAAAATGTACTATAGGGTAAACATGGTGTCATCTCTCCACCATCCTTGGCCTTAGTGACCTAAGTGAGCTACCCTGTGACACATGTATGTGTCATAAGGAGGGTGAGCGTGTTGAGACGACTGTCTCGTGTGACTTCCTTTTAAATGGATTTTTCAAGGACAATACCGAGCAGCATGGGTGTGCCAATATTGCACCTCATCCTGCGTGTCGATATCCATAAATGAAATGACATGAGCACAGGAGGGTCAATGTCTCAATAGAGTTTGAATGGATGGATGTTCGAGATGTCCCGACAACATGTGGGTCTATTCTCGATGACATAGCTGAGTGAGTAGTGATGGCTGACGACACCCCAAAACTTGGGATGACGTCAAGACATATGAGCCATGTCGATTGGGAACCAAGATGACAAGATGAGAAGTGACGTTGCATTGAGAGTCCTTGACCCCGACGTTGTCGATTGGGAACCAACTCTTTTTTTCGAAGCTTAAGAAAACATTCCTTTAAAAAATAGTATTATATAAGCAATGTGAAAGTTCTTATGTGTAATAAAACTTGGGATACTTACCAATCCAACTTAAAATTAGAGTCGTGAAACCTTGACCATGGTAATACTTTTGAAATAACTTGACATTGCTATGAAAAGTTCATCATTATTTGTAATCTCGTTGATCCTCCACCAAGGTTCATCTTAAATCATGGTTTCCTCAATTTAAGAGCGTCGTTGGGACTTTCATCCAACACCTCCCCTCGAACAAAGTACGCCTCCCCTTAATCGAGGCTCGACCTAGCTCTGATACCATTTTAGATGAACATGACTCTCCACAATGATATGATATTGACGACTTTGAGTATAAGCTCTCATGGTTTTGCTTTGGGCTTCCCCAAAATGTCTCACTCCAACGGATATATATTCTTTGATTAGAAACCCAAGATCATTACTTAAATTAGTCTCCAACAACTTTCAAACTTAGATTTAAAAATTTCGGATTAGTGTTAAGACATGAGAGTTTTCTAGATCTTACTACTTCCAAAGCTCAGCTTCCATTAAAAGAACTTGTGTCATTCACGAATCAGTTTAAGTATACAATGTTTTAATTTTTATGGTGTTAGCTTATAATTATTATAATTATTATTTTTTTTGTTTATATCGATATTTTAATTTCATATTTACATACTTCGTAGGGACGAAATTTTCTTTCGACACTACCACTTTTAATATCTAGAGCAGACTATAAGATATTGTCGTATTTTTTTGGTCATTTTCTTTTGAAACTACCTAATCGTCAATATACATTGATACATTCCTTTCTATCTCTATGGTCATAGCACTGCTTTAACCATGTTTGTGAAGTCGGACTAAAAAATCTGACATAAAATATTTTAAAGTACAAAATCAAGCTCATGGAATCACATCAAAATAGTTTACAAAATAGCACAAGTTTCAAGAAAACGACATTAAGAATAATATTAAAATGATGCAAGAGGGGAACGACTTGATCTACGCTCCATCTGTAAACAAAGAATAGTAGGAACGAGTATAAAAAAATACTCAGTAAGCACCTACGTGCAAGCCCTTATCAAAACTTTTTTAAGCTATAGCTTATTTAGGGTCCTAGAGATGGTCAATTCCATAGCCCGGGTTCCTTTATAGCCCTCTCAAGCTTACGAGGTTCACATTCCTTAATCACTCTTATTCCAAGGGTGTAGGTCATCCATCGAGGTGTATTCGAATTTAAGGTGCACTTAACATCTTATTTTTTTACGTTCTGAGGTCCATTAGATTATCATGCTTTTTCTGTAAGTCGTGAGTGATTATGATTTGGGTTTGATTTGTAATTTTGAAATTTAAAATTTGACTTTTATGATTTAATTAAAATTCAACTAGGTTACGTCATTTTTGTCCAGTTTGGGTTGAATTTAAAAAATTCAAGTCTGTGTGTGGGGTTGACATTTTCTTGTCGGGTCAACTTGACCAACCGTTACAACTAACTCCAACCCAAAAACAATTATTAAAAAAAAGACAAAAAAATAATTACCAAACAATTCCTTATTAAAAAAAACCAAAAATTATTTTTTAAAATATTTTTTATATTACCTTTTAACTATTAAAATTTTAGTTATAAATATTACTTTTAACTGAACAATAAAAATATATATTTATTAATTAATTAATATAAACAAATGGTAAAAATTATATTAAAAATTTGAGAGGAAACCAACATAAATTTAAAAAACGGAAAACTAAAAATAAAATTTATTTTTAGGGGTAAAATGGTAATTTCGATATAACAAAAATACAAAAATTTAAATTTAAAAAGATTTAACTAACTGGAACAAATATTTTGAGTCATAAAATTTCTCACCCGTTGAACACAAACCGTTAGGCCATTCTTGTTCGCGGGAGGCTCGGGACTACGCTTCGGTTCATTTCTCCAACGAAATTTGGACGAACACATAAAGCTGAAAAGACCCATAAAGATTTTTAAGAAACGGAGAGGAAAAAACGAGCAATAGATTCTCTCCTCTTGCTGTTTTTCTTCAATCTTGTCAATGGCCCTTCATCCTGAATCAACAATCCCCTTCTCCTAAGCTCTTGTTTCGACCCTTGTTCTACATCGTTTCTATTCAAACACCCAATTTGTTTTCTGAGAAATTGGGATTGTTTGGAATAGATTTTTGTTTTCTGTGTTGTTCTTGAGGGTTTGTAATGGCGACAGGGCAAGTTTTACCGTTTTCGATCGCTTCTGTGGTTGAAGATCTTCTTCAACAGCATGGAGTTCATCTGCGTGATATCGAGTTGGCTTCGAAGAAGGCTGAAGAAGACTGTATGTTGTTCGTTATCTTGTTTTTTGTTTTTTTTTTTTCCTTTTGTTTGCGTAATGACTGTTGAATGATACGATTTTTTTGGAATAGTTTTTGTAAATTTGTTTTGGTTCTTCTCAATTTGATCGATGTTCTTCCCATTTCTGGTGTTGGTAATGTGTTTTGTGAATTAATGAGTCGCGTTTGGTAATGTTCATGTTGGATTTTAAGAGACTCAGATTGATTTTGTTGATGTGAAAAGTAAATTGAATGTTCATCATATTGTTTTGAAGCCTTGAGAAGGTATGAAGCGGCTGGGTGGCTAAGGAAAACTGTTGGAGTCGTTGGTGGTAAAGACTTGCCAGCTGAGCCTTCTGAAGAGGAATTTAGGCTTGGATTAAGAAGCGGAATTATTCTTTGCAATGTTCTCAATAAGGTTCAACCTGGAGCAGTGTCAAAGGTATGTATACTTCCTTTTTCCCCCTTTATTCTAAGTTACTATTGCATTCTGTGGTGAACACAAGAAGGAAGGAGACAATTTCCATGTTTGTTTACTTTAGATTAAGAAAAATACATGAAAGAACTTGAGTTATCAAAAGTTTTCCTGTGAATTCTGCCCTCTTAGGTTTCTGTTTCTTTAGATAAGTTGGCATATAAATACTTTCCCACCTTATGAAATTTTCTTGCTCAGCCGAAGATGGTTGGGAGGGGGTTCCATATTGGTTAATTAAAGGAATAATCATGGGTTTATAAGTAAGGAATACATCTCCATTGGTATGAAGCATTTTGGGGAAACTAAAAACAAAGCCATGAGAGCTTATGCTCAAAGTGGACAATATCATACCATTGTGAAGGTCCATAGTTCTTAACATGGTATCAGAGTCATGCCCTTAAGTTAGCCATGTTAATAGAATCCTCAAGTGTCGAACAAAGAAATTGTGAGCCTCGAAGGTGTAGTTAAAAGTGACTCAAGTGTCGAACAAAGGATTTGATTTGTTTGAGGGATCCAGAGAAGTATTCGAGCCTCGATTAAGAGGAGGCTATTTGAGGGCTCCGTAGTCCTCAGGAGAGGCTCTATGGTGTACTTTTTTCGAAGGGAGGATTGTTAAGGATTGTTAGGAGGGAGTCCCACATTGGCTAATTTAGGGAATGATCATGAGATAAGGAATTCATTTCCATTGCTACGAGGCTTTTTGGAGAAACCAAAAGCAAAGCTATGAGAGTCGTACCATATCATACCATTGTGGAGAGTCGTGGTTCCTAACATTAAGTACATCTGAAGTGATGATCATTCAATTCGTGTTCTTTGTATAGATTGTTGAAGGCCCATGTGATTCTGTAATTATTCCTGATGGGGCAGCCTTATCTGCTTACCAATACTTAGAAAATGTGAGAAATTTTCTGGTGGCCATAGAAGAACTGGGGTTGCCAACTTTTGAAGCCTCTGATCTAGAACAGGTAACTTCGGTAGTTTTGGACATCTTTTTGGTAAGTTGAACTAGATTAAAATCTTTCTTCTGGTTGTATTGATCTATTGCAAATCCATGGCTATGTCAGGGAGGAAAATCTACAAGGGTTGTGAACTCTGTTCTGGCACTCAAGTCATACAGCACCTGGAAAAAAGGAGGCGGATATGGGGTGTGGAGATTTGGCGGGACGGATAAATCACCAACATCGAGTATAGATATGGTGCCAAAAGATTCAGAACCTGCCACGAATTCTTTAACGAGAACCTCATCAACTTGTGATAGTTTTTGTCTTGAATTGTCTTCAAGTGATGATCCTAGCAATGAAACAGTTCGTGACGTTTTCATCCTTCTTTTTCTTTACTTTTTGTTACTTGCTTGATTGAGTTGAATTAAGACATCTTTGACTTCTTACAATTTCGACTGCAGGGATCCTCCCGTCCTTTACAGTTGCTACTTTCTCAACTTCTTTCTAATAAACAGCTTGACGAAATCCCCAGTGTAAGTGTTGGCTTCTAATACTGAGTTATATATAGATCTTCTTCTTAGAAACATGAAGATCTTGATCTGAGTTTTTTTTTTTTTTTTTTTGCTTTTTCTTTTTCTAATGAATCTGTAGATTGTGGAATGTATGATTTGTAAAGTCATGGGAGAGTTTGAGCATCGATTAACAACTCATAACATTAAGGTATACTTTCTATTTCCCACAATGTCTTACTTTAGCAATCTATATTTCATGGTTACTGAAATACATGATTTCTCCCTGCACCTCAAGATTACTTACTGAATGAGTTAGCCTCTGGAATTCTGTTTGGACTGCAATTTTTTTATCATCTAATTTTCTTGATCTTGATGGTTAAATCAATAACTCAATGTATCTTATTAGCGTTGAGGATGGTTGGGAAAGGAGTCCCACGTTGGCTAATTAAGGGGTTAATCATGGGTTTATAAGTAAGAAATACATCTCCATTAGTATGAGGTCTTTTGGGGAAACAAAAACCAAAGTCATGAGAGCTTATGCTCAAAGTGGACAATATTATACCATTGTGGAGAGTCGTGGTTTCTAACATGGTATCAAAGCCATGCCCTTACCTTTGCCATGCCAATAAAATCCTCAAGTGTCGAACAAAGTGGTTGTGAGCCTCGAAGGTGTAGTCAAAAGTGACTCAAGTGTCGAACAGAGGGTGTACTTTGTTCGAGGGCTTTAGAGAAGGAGTCGAGCCTTGATTGAGGGGAAACTGTTTGAGGGCTCCATAGGCCTCAGGGAGGCTCTATGGTGTATTTTTTCCGAGGGGAGGATTGTTGGGAAAGGAGTTCCACATCGACTAATTTAGGAGTTGATCATGGGTTTATAAGCAAGGAATACATTACCATTGATATGAGGTCTTTTGGGGACAATATCATACCATTATGGAGAGTCATAGTTTCTAACCGTTAGACCTCGTGTAAATTTTCAAAACTATAACTAAGGAAGAGTGTCTAAAATATGGATAAGAGATAATTTTTTTTTTCTTGCATAAGAAATAAACTTCATTGATATATGAAATTTTCATTCCATCAACTTATGCTTTTGATTCAATGTGGATTTAGCAATCCCTCCATCACCATTTGTTTCTGTGCTTATGGCATTTCATTCTGCCCATTTGATAGATGAAAACAAGTCAAGAAGATATGGCAGAGTCTATATCTGATAAGTATCCTCCACAAATCACTTCTGCTGATGGAACGGTAAGCTGTGAATTTATGTATGTTATGAAAATATTTTGTTACTAAGTTAATAGAGTTGAATGGGTTGCTAATATATTTTATGTTTTGAGAGATTAAGATGGAAGAGGAAACGACTAGTTCTCCTGAAGAAATAAGCAGTCCAGAAGCAACAAGTTGTACGGAAGAAATAAGCAGTCTAGAGGCAACAAGTTGTCCTGAAGTAGAGAGTTGTCATGAAACAGAAAGGTGTTCAGAGGCAGAAAGTTGTCTTGAAACAAAATCCGAAAACCAGGAATCTAATGATCATCGTGATGAGGAATTAGAACGCAAAATTTTGAGAAGACAGATGCTGCTTGAACAGCAACAGAGAAACATAGAGGTAGCTGGTGATTTAGTGTATTTATAAGTTGCTAATTACTGTTCTGGAATATACGACGTCAAAGCTGGTTTTCTTCTGTAGATGTTGAAGAGTGTTCTTGGTGAAACCAAAGCAGGAATGCAGATTTTGCAAATGAAGTACCAAGAGGAGTTCAATAATATTGGTATAAATTATTAATTAATTAAAATTCTTTGATCATTTTGTTCATTTTGTTGAGGATGGTTGGGAAGGAGTCCTACGTTGGACAATATTCATATCATTGTAGAGGGTCGTGATTCCTAACATGGTATCAGAGCCATGCCATTAACTTTGCCATGTCAATAGAATCCTTAAATGTCAAACAAAGAAGGTGTAGTCAAAAGTGACTCAAGTGTCGAACAAAGGGTGTACTTTGTTCGAAGACTCCAGAGAAGGAGTCAAAGCTCGATTAAGGGAGGTTGTTCGAGGGCTCCATAGGCTTCAGGGGAGGCTCTATAATGTACTTTGTTTGAGAGGAGGATTGTTGGGAGGGAGTCCCACATTGGCTAATTTAGGGAATGATCATGAGTTTATAAGTAAGGAATACATCTTCATTGGTATGAGGCATTTCGGGGAAGTCTAAAGCAAAGCCATGAGAGCTTATGCTCAAAGTGGACAATATCATACCATTATGGAGAGTTGTGATTCCTAACACATTTTTCTAGATGGTACCTTGGGAGGCCTACGCCCCATAGAAACTGTCTACCTGAGACTGTCCCTTGGTCCGTAGGTCCTGACACAAGGTTAGAATTCTAGCTCTTCCAGAGTGGTATCTCATTGATGGCTCGGGCCCCGCCGGAAGGGGGCCTTCTTCGCCCTCCACCTAAGCTGCATTTTATTTATTTTTTTTGTGAATTTTTTTTTTATTAATTTTCTATTGAATGAATGGTACATGTACCTTCTAATGTATTCTCAGTCTAACTGCTAGCCCCTAACTTAGGTAAGCGCATGCATAGTGTGGCTTATGCAGCTTCAGAATACCGAAGGGTTGTTGAAGAAAATCGGAAACTATATAACCAAGTTCAGGACCTGAAAGGTAGCATTAGCAGTGTGAACTTCCTCATAAATTTTGGCTCTAATTTGGCTTGGTAGTAGCAGTCTTGTAAACATAATAATGTTCATATCAGGAAATATCAGAGTATATTGTAGAGTTCGACCATTCCTTGGTGGACACTCAAACCGACCCTCTATTGTGGATCGCATTGATCAAGGGAATATGAGCATTATGACACCATCGAAATACGGCAAGGAGGGAAGGAAATCATTCAGTTTTAACAAAGTATTTGGGCCTTCTGCAACCCAAGGTTCAACTTCCTTTTATGATCTCCTTATCATATAAGTTTTCAACATTATGAATATTGAGCATAACATTCTCTCTATGCAGGGGAAGTATTTTCAGATACTCAACCTCTGATTCGATCCGTGCTCGACGGTTATAATGTCTGCATATTTGCTTATGGTCAAACTGGATCAGGGAAAACTCACACCATGGTATATGAGATTAAGCACCCAATATTAAATTATGTGATTATTTTCATAAGTTTTTTTTTGATCCATTATTTGTAAAATCCAGTCAGGACCAGCAGAGCTCACTGAGGACACTGTAGGTGTAAACTACAGGGCCTTGAGTGATTTGTTTGTTCTTTCACAACAAAGGAGACAGACCATTTCCTATGACATATCTGTTCAGATGCTTGAGATTTATAATGACCAAATTAGAGATCTTCTTGTCACGGATTCCAGTAACAGAAGATATCCTTTTTTTTTCCCTTCTGTATTTCTTTATATTCTTTCATATAATGAAGCTCTGGCTATAATGATTGACCTTAACTGGTAATTACATTGGAAGTTCGTAACAGCTCTCAAAATGGGATTAATGTACCGGATGCATGCCTTGTACCTGTGTCATCAACAGCAGATGTTATAAATCTGATGAATCTGGGCCAAAATAATCGTGCAGTGAGCTCTACCGCCATGAATGATCGGAGCAGTCGCTCTCACAGGTACAAACTCTTCTTAAATAAATTTAGTACGAATATCTAGGAATGACAAGAAATCACGACTCTCCATAATGGTATGATGTTGTCCACTTTGAGCATAAACTCTCATGGCTTAACTTTGGGCTTCCCTGAAAGGCCTCATACCAATGAAGATATATTATTTACTTATAAACCCCGTGATCATTCCCTAAATTAGCCAATGTGGGACTCCCTCCCAACAATCCTCACCAACATGATCTCAAGTATCCAATTATTCGTTGCTTTGTCTTTGCATCTTTTTATAACTTGGAAGAGTGTCACAAGCCTCCTAATGTGCTTAAACTATTATTGCAACAATTGCAGCTGCTTAACTGTTCATGTTCAAGGAAGAGATTTGGCAACCGGTGCGACACTTCGTGGGTGCATGCATCTTGTTGACTTGGCAGGAAGTGAAAGGGTTGATAAGTCTGAGGTAATAGGAGATAGATTGAAAGAGGCACAACATATCAACAAATCTCTTTCTGCATTAGGAGATGTTATTGCCTCTCTTGCTCAAAAGACTGCACATGTCCCTTATAGGAACAGTAAACTCACACAATTGCTCCAAGATTCACTTGGTATGTGTGGCTTTGAAAACTAATGTGTGTGTCTCCCTTTTGGCGGTTGTAATATTCTGGCTAACCACATTTGCTTCCGCATCCATGCAGGAGGTCAAGCAAAGACACTCATGTTTATTCATATAAGTCCAGAGCCTGAAGCTCTTGGAGAAACATTGAGTACTTTAAAGTTCGCCGAAAGGGTTGCAACCGTTGAGCTCGGTGCTGCTCGGGTTAACAAAGATAGCACTGAGTCTAAAGAGCTCAAGGAACAGGTTTTTAACTTTTATTCCCCATTATTATTTGGTTGATAAATTTTGGAAGACATTTATGTGAGATCCCACGTTGGTTGGAGAAGAGAACGAAACACTCCTTATATAGGTGTGGAAACCTCTCCCTAACAGACGCATTTTTAAAACCTTGAGGGGAAGCCCAAAGAGGACAACATCCACTAGTGGTGGGTTTGAGCGGTTACAAATGGTATCAGAGTCAGATACTAGGCAGTGTGCCACCGTGGACGATGGTCCCCCAAGGGGAGTGTATTGTGAGATCCCACATTGGTTGGAGAGGAGAATGAAACACTCCTTATAAAGGTGAGATCCCACATTGTTTTAAAACCTTGAGGGGAGCCAGAAGGGAAAGCGCAAAGAGGACAATATCTGCTAGTAGTGGGCTTGGACGGTTACATTTTATGATTTTTGGCTCTTGTGTTGTCGCTTTTTCATCGGTTGTCACTGCAAATTCTGCTCTAACTCATTTCTTGGCCTTTTTCTTCCAGAAGGCAATTAAAAAGTTCTTTGATTTGCATGTTTTTATATGCTTTTGATCAGTACAAAGAATAATAGAAATGGTATGCTCTATATCTCGTGTTCTTACGTGACAACTTTATTTCTTATTATCAGATAGCTAGCCGAAAGGTGGCCTTAGTGAAGAAGGACGGTGAAACGGAGCAAAATTATCGACCAAGCAGTCCAGAAAAAAGTAGGATGAAAACTTTCTTGTCATCCCCTTCACTTCCTAGCTGGAAAAGTGTTGTGGAGATGTCTGTTAATAGAACAAATTCATCGGAAGATGTTCGTAATCCTCCTGAGGTACGAATTGTATTGAAAATCAATGAAAGCTAAATTTGATAACAAAACCCGTAATATTGAAAGTAATACCAAAGCTAGAGACGGGATCATGAGTTTATAAGTAAAGAACACTATCTTCATTGGTACGAGACTTTTTGGGAAAACCAAAAGGAAAGCCATGAGAGCTAATGCTCAAAGTGGACAATATCATATCATTACGGAGGGTCGTGGTTCCCAACAAAAACCACTTCTACTTTGATATTAGTAAAAGTCTTAGTCGGTCACTGAAACACATCTGCCTCATGCAAGCTTTTTTGCTAACAGGTTCAAAACAAATCGAACTCGAACGTCAAAAGAAGAAGCTTAGATCCCCGAGACATATTGCCGAGTTCTCCATGGCCACTTTTGGGCGCAACTCTTGTTAATAGGAGGGAAGAAGAGAAAGAATCTGTTTCAAGTGATGGGGAGGACAAAGTTATGGTAAACAAGAATGAAAACATTGGTAGTGATGAAACTCTTACAGGATGCTGGGATGTAAACACGAAGTTGCCTGAGACATTTGATCAGAAATTTCTTGTAAATCCATCGAAGGTGTACCCTGAAACCCTGCTCAACAATCCTTCAGTGAACAAGAAGGAAACCCAAGAACCTGATGTGCAGAGGAACCAGGTTGAGATGGTCAGCACTGATGATTCTGATGATCATGATGCTGCAAATAGTGAAACATCAGAGCCAGAAATTATTTGGCATTCAAGCCTTCCACTTCCAAGACCTTCAAGCATTCCAAATGGTTTGGGATCAAAGACGAAGAAAACAGCTATTCCTAAGCAAGCAAGGAGCCCAGAAATCAGGTAATTATTCAATCTTTTACTATTCTTCCTGCTCTTTGGTCTGCATAGAAGATTATTTTCTCTTTCTATGAAAAATCTGCTCCCCTGTCTCCCATATGTCAAAAGAACTTTCTGCTCCAAATCATCATGTTTAGAAGTGTTTTGTAGTAACTTTGGAAACAGTCAAGCATTCAAAAGTTCTTTGTGCACTTGCAGAATGTGTTTTGATTCTGAGTACGGTTGGGAACCATGACCCTCCATAGTAGTATAATATTGTCCACTTTGAGTATTTTGAGTACGGTTGGGAACCACGACCCTCTACAGTGATATGATATTGTCCACTTTGAGCATTTTGAGTATTATTGGGAATCACGACTCTCCATAGTTGTATGATATTGTCCACTTGAGCATTCTGAGTACTATTGGAACCACGACCCTCCATAGTAGTATGATATTGTCCACTTTAAACATTTAGAGTACTATTGGGAGCCACGACTCTCCATAATGATATGATATTGTCCACTTTGAGCATTCTGAGTACTATTGGGAACCACGATCTTTCATAGTAGTATAATATTGTCCATTTTGTGCATAAACTTTCATGACATTGGAGTGTTTTGATTCAGAGTACTTGTTAGGAAAGCACTTTTAAGAGGGTAGAATCAAACATCAAAGTTGTTTGTCATTACCACTTTATAATGCACACTTTATCCCCATGCCTGCTACACCAGATTGATTATGTTCGAATGTTTTTAAAACTAGGAGCTTCATTCCATCATTGATTCCTTCGCCATCACGAAAACCGCAAGCCGGAGTCGCCCAGCCCGTGCCCAAGACAAGCAAACCGGCGGCCGTTTCAGTTGAGGGGGGCAAGAGGAGGGGTGGCTATACAAAATGAGTATTGGGGGATGGAGATTGTTCTTAAATTGATTCTTCCTCATTTTTGCTTTCCCTCTCTTTGTATTTATTGTATATAGAAAGAGCGAGAGAAAGAGAAAAAGAGAAAGAGAAAGAGATATATTGTCCGTTGAATAGGCAATAGCTCAAGTTGCCTAAGTTTCTTGCTTAAGTTTCTCTTTCTCTTCATTCATGTATAATATTAAAATTTAAATTTTTAGAACCTACCATTGCATTTGTGAAATATTATTGATTTTTTTTTAGGATGGTTACAGAAATTATATTGGAAAAATGGAAACTATCTTTTGGGTTCTTTATTTGAAGTGAATTTTAAAATAAAAACAATAAAAAGTGCGGAGAAAATAGACTTGGAGTTGCTTTGAATTCGGAGTTGGCCAACGCTTTCAATTGATCTTTCTCTTCATTCATCTGGATACAACACAGACTTAATCTAGATGAACACAAAGATCAGGAGAGAGAAAATGTAAAGAATAGTATTCCCTAGAGGTTTATATTGATGACTTCAAACATGTATACTAAGAGAGAACACGCAAAAAGTACATCTTCAAAGCACTGCTTAAGGGAGAGAACGTAGAAGGTACATAAGAATGCAGAAGGTACATATTCAAAGCACTGCCTAAAGAGGGTGTATATATAACTTTACTAGATATATAGAGCTCCTTTCATAACCTAACCATTTCTGAACAATTATCTCAATTGTTTGTCTTTGTCTCCATCCTCAGTGGAGACGTTGGTTTGGTGTCTCTTCCTAGTATTTGGTGATCACTGACAGAGTATTTGGGGGTTTAATGAACCTGACTGTCAATAAGTCATTTAACTATTTTTAGAATATAGGTAGCTCAGGTTGAGTTGTATGACCCACATGTGTGGCAGGTGATCTCGCCCTTGACATAACATCAATCTCGTGATCCTGGCCGCAATTTGATCGAAATTCTCTCTACAACTCTTAAAACAAGTAATACTGGCGAATTGATGGCCTTCATCTTTACTGTATCTCGATGTCAAAGGATGCTCATGTGTTTTGATTCAGTTTCTATCATGAAGTTGTGAGTGGCTCCAGAGTCGACAATGGTGCTCCTAGCTGAATTTTAGTGCCCATATACAAGAGAGTTCAATATTCTCAACTAGCAGTATTTTCGTTTCTACTGTCTCATACACGACTTTTGAGTTCATTCCAAAATTTTCTTGGAAGGCGTAGAGTGTCGCCTTTTGTGGGCACTCGATTTCTTGGTGGGCCCATGCATATGAAGCAAGACAAGGGGTCTTAACTTTGACTATGACTTGCTCTTTCTATGAGATTTGTGCCATGGAGTTCTACCTCTTTGTTGGGAGGACTCGCATTCTCCTCCTCTTTCGAGTCTGTCATTTCCCCCACCTTTGGGGAGCTGGGTCAATAACTTTTATTTCCACCATTTGCGAACGCCTGATTCCGTCTTATCTCTTGGAGTTACAGATACTAAGAACAAATAGTCGTTCAGCTGTAGCGTAGGTCATAGAAAGGTCTAGAATTCTTAGCTTGTAAAAATTTGTATTCACCCACGTCTTTAGTCCCTCAAAAAAGCTAAAGACCTAGTCTTTCTCCGTCATATCCTTAAAAATAAACTTTTGAAAAATAATTACATAATTATTTTTTATATTTATTTTTCAACAATTCTTTAAATAATTTTTAACCGTTCCATTACAAATGAATTACAAATTTTAATTAAACTTGAAAATAAATAAATAAATAAATATTTTACCACCTAGTGTTTTATTTTTTAATAAAAATAAGAATTTAAGTAAATGACTCGAACAATTAAACCATCTAACCAAAAAAGAACACGTGTCAGATGGAGAGGTGAGGTGTACAGACTGGCAGGTGAGGTTAGCAAAAAAATAGAGAAGAAAAAAGAACAGCAAAGGTCCACTTGGCTTTGAGCGGACAAATTGAGGTTTCCAGCTGGAGAAGGAACGTAGGCCGACCCCTTCTAATTAAGTGGCCAAAACACCCAATTGGGTCCCACCTTAACACGTGGCCACGTCATCTTTTTTAATTTTCTTTTGATTTTTTTCCTTTTTTTTTCTTTTTATATTAAAGAGACACCAAAAATTGGAAAGAAAAAATAAAATAAAAAATTAAGATTCCTTTATAAATAAAAGTCAAAACGCATTACTAAAAGATTACGAAAATGTAAATAATGGTCAAAATTAGATTCAGTTGTCAACTGCTCTATCGTAAATAAAATTGACTACGGATTTAAGCCATAGCATACGGTTTCATAAAACCGTACAATTTTCCCGATCCAAAGCAGGTTTTACATGAAAAAGATTTGGCTCAGCATGTTCTATTCGAAAGTCCTTCCCGCATCAAGCACTAATATAGTTTTAACGTCTAATTAGATCGGGTAATCATTCGAATTAAGAACATAAGCCCGTTACTTTTTATTTCTCTATAATTGGAGCATAGGGCTCTATCCATTTATTCATTCGACCCACCCCACTTGACTTTACTTTTTTTTTTTTTCCGCATCAAGAATTCAAACAAGGTTTGGCTTGTGCTTACTCAACTTGTGTTTACGTTTTAGTCAATGATCGACCAAGAAATGACAAATCAGTCTTTTTCGTTTAAATAAAAAATGAGCAATTTTATAAGGTTAAATAAAAATGAAATTAATCATTTTAGAAAATTACTATGCTTAGTGTTCGACTCGTGGGTTTTGGTTAAAACCAAAAAGAAGGATCAGCTCATATATAATCTGAACTAATAATTATAAAACTAATAACCAACTGATCGCTTCGCATTATCTGGATCTAAAAAACTAACCAGTCAAGATATGTTATATGGGTCATATCATTGTAGCAACTGAAATCTTTTTTGCATAAAAAAAAAAATCCGATTATGAGTTGTGAAGCAATAAAAGTACGCGGATATCTCATAAAAAGTAGTGTAATAAAGCATTAAGACGGATAGATTCATAATTAGATAAATCTGTTCATAGAATAGAACAAAAAAGCCAAGAGCCCCAAGACCCAAGACAATAAAGACTCCATTATAGAATAAAGACCTAACCATTAATCGAGAGGCGATGGGAACGAGGGAACCCGTGAATNCCATTATCTGGATCTAAAAAACCAACCAGTCAAGATATGTTATATTGGTCATATCATTGTAGCAACTGAAATCTTTTTTGCATAAAAAAAAAATCCGATTATGAGTTGTGAAGCAATAAAAGTACGCGGATATCTGAAGGGTGAAAGAAAGAGAGAAAAAGAATATGAATGATATATGATTCCAATATGTAAGGTCGATGGGTCATCTCATAAAAAGTAGTGTAATAAAGCATTAAGACTGATGGATTCATAATTAGATAAATCTGTTCATAGAATAGAACAAAAAAGCCAAGAGCCCCAAGACAATAAAGACTGAGAAGATTGATTCAAGAACAAATTTTAGTTTGATTAAGGACTCCATTATAGAATAAAGACCTAACCATTAATCGAGAGGCGATGGGAACGAGGGAACCCGTGAATACATAATATTCTATTGAAAAGGAATCCTAATAATTCATTGGGTAGGATGGCGTAAGGAACCCAAGACCAATCCATTTATTATGAGAAGTCGGTTCATGGGCTAACTAACCCGAGAACCGAAACACATATAAAAAGAGGAAATATTCGCCCGCGAACATTTCAATTTTATTAGATTTATAAATTTGGGTCGATAAAATATAAGACTGGATAAAAAAAGAAAAGGAAAAACAAAATAAACGTTTATTATTATTATAATAACAAAACGAGATTATATTATCTATTATTTTTTTAGAAAACTATAAAAAAAAAAAAAATGATTCTATTATTCATTCTAGAATCTATAAAGAGTTTAGTTTTCTATCAAAAGAAGGTCAACCCACGATGCATCTTCATCTCGAGGACTTCGAAAAGGGACTTTTGGAATACCAACCGGCATCAAAGCAAACAAAAAAGAATTAAGTACTATAGCTCATTTTGATGTGGAAGCGTAACAACGGGTTCATTGTCTTAATAAATAAGCTCGGCCTTTCTTTATCATATTGTATCTTTTAGCATATTTTATACATAGATTGAATAAGTTCATAAAAAAGGAAAACAGAAGGAATAAAGGAAAATTCTATTAAATGTATAAGTCCATGACTTCGTTTGAAATGTTTTATTTAGATTTCCGCATACGTTACTAAAGACATGTATGTAGTGACGTCTCTAATCTAGGTAAGAAAATTAGGAGCGTTACATGTCGATTTGCGGGTTGACATTTTTTTAGTTGAGTTAACTCGACCAACTTGAAATTAGGGTTACAACCTAAAATTAGGGGTTGATCCGTATCATCTTGGTTCTCATTTCTCTATATTTTTAATAATACCAAGTTGGGTTCTTTTCCTACCCGTAAGTCACGTCTACGTTGCGAGTCTTGGTGGCCGAGTCCAAGATGGGCGAACAATAGAAATAGGTCCGAAGGGGGATAGCTGTAGATAAAGGAACAAGCCAAAGTGAGACAAGTTCACCCAACAACTGACCAAGTCAAGAGTCATAACGTGGTGCCACCTGACGAAAAGAGAAGTCAGAAGCATCCACTCGAACTTGTTCCAAGTTGGCACAAGACGTTAGCAAGAAGAGTATTATGACAAAAGATCGTCAGGTCTCAACAATAGTATACTTTTCTGAAGCACAACCAAATCCAGCGCCTAGAAACTACTAATTGAAAACGATGCATGCTACTACTCTATCTTAGCTTCCATCATCACTCCAGCATTCACCGTCATCCGTGTAGGGACGCTTTACCTTTACCTGAAAAATAAGGGTAGCATGTAGCGTGAGTATTTCAAGAAATACTTAGTAAGTAACACCACTGTTGAGATTGGATAATGCAAACACACACACATACATGATGGAACCTATCCTTTAAAATAATATAGCATGACTTTGAGCTCTTTCTAGTTCAGACAGAGTTGGTTGTGTGGTACTTCCCCACGTACGACCCACGCACGTGCACATGGACCCACCAAGCAGGCTCGTATATGTACCCCTGGGTCTGGTTTCATTGGGCTAAACGCGCTGACGCGTTGTCGGACGCCACGAAAGGGAAGAACTTGCATGATATTATGGCGAACATAAATATCGATAATACTCGTCTATCTAACATAACATAATAGGGAAGCATCCTGATGTACATGACATACAT